CAGTTCGGGAAAACGGAATTTGCTGTCCAATTTGTTAAAAAGTCAAAGATGAAAAAGTTACACACGCAAAGTACCAAGTGCCCCCCGTACCCACCCCAATGGACCTTGTGGAAATAAATGGATTAGTCCATCAAATTGCTCATCAAAATTTAGCTGTGTATACCAAATTTCATTCATTTATCACAACGCGATTGAGAGATATTGCAAAAAAATGATTTCCATTCCTCCCTCTTCAATGGGTCCCTGTGCCCTTAGGAAGCATTTCCGGACCCATGTTCATATGAACTTTTTTACTTAGTTTTGATCATAGAATCGGCCTGTTCAGGGTTGGCAGCTAATTATGAGACACCCTGTATACTCTTAACTTAACACTGCTACAGATGTATTTATTCGCTAAACATTTATAGGGCTCAAACTGCTCCAGATGGATTCATTCGCTTGAATAGTTAAATTGGATCAAGCTGCTCAAACTGTATATATAGCGCATTAGTGCGGATGGAGCTAATAGCAATTATGACAAATATTTTTATGGAAGGAGGTACTGGTAATAATGCCAAGATTGTTCATCTCTCTTTCAGTTTCTATTTAGTACAGCTGTCGATATACTGTATTTTATTTAAAATAAAATCGTAAAATTTATCGTAAATTGTAATTTAACACAGCATAATGTAAAACTATAAGTGGTCTAACTGCTCCAGACGTATATATTCACACGTGATAAACTTTCGCGCACGGAGCAGTATTGGCTATAGTGGAGACATTTCATAATCTGAAGTCACCGCCCGTTTCTATTCAGATTGTAAAACGTCTTCAATATAACCATCCTTATCTATCGCACGGATTTCTTTACTTTGTCGCTCTCATGTAAAGGCAGATGGACCATGTGGATTTTCCAGCCGTGTATAATGTTTTTTTTGCTTGTGATGACATGTATGGTGCACTTTTGAAGTATTTTTTCGATGATCGGTAAGCTATAAGCGTTTATACATGCACGAAATTCAAAAATGCTGTATCGACGATAGAAGCGAAATCTGCTATTTTTACGATTAGTAATTTCTTCGAAAAAATTAATTTCACGAATATTTGCCGGTTTTTTCGTGCAAAAGTTTTTTATTATGAATCTAGGAATGTTTTAGTGTACTTTAAGCCAATAAAAAAATTTTTCAGTGATTAACCCCTTAATAGCACATTATTCATAACGTTATTATTAAATTACCAGCTTATTGACAGAAAGTGTCAATTTATTAATATGATAAATAACAATTTATTTGTTATGACAACCGCTCACTTTATTTTTACAAATTTTCGCAATTACCCCTTTAGTGAAAGATGCCGCATATAATTTTGTTTACTAGAAAACTATTGGTTTTATCGAAAAATTACAAGAGGTAAAAAGGTTGCGCAATAAATCAGTGTTCCCAATAAATATTTTTAAATAAATAATTTGCTTCATATAAAAAATGTCTAATAAAATATTGCAATGGGGTTGACTGTTTCACTCCTTTATAAAATACGCCAATGATCTAACAAATATTGAAAAGTTGTCTCTTATTAGTAGGATGCTCATACCAAGTTTCGTATCTCTAGCATTCCCCATGTTAAAGAAAAAAATTAAAATGTGAATTTCAATCCCCCTGTATTTCCTCCATGGAATTAAGTTTTGATTATGGACATTTTTTCGTGGTTATTTTTGGGAGATATTTGAAAGTTTCAGATTAAAAAAACTCCCCTTATTGACAAGTCATTATTGTATTGCCTCTAAAACATTGGATATTCGTAACCAGCCAATTTTTCTTAATATTCTACAGAAATCATCATTTACTACAAATTCTAATCTAAAATGGTGCAGTACCTATGACGAGGTATTGGTTTTATACAGGGTCTTACAAATATTCTATTTTAAAAATTGTATCTACCTATACAAACACCCAATTTGATCTATGGCAATGAAAATTTGGAATTAACAAGGGGATATTTAAATTATCGTTTTTTTTTTTTCTTAAATTTTTTTTTTTTAATTTTTGGCAAGTCTTCAACACAGTAGACAGTGAAGTAGGGGTGGAAACAAAAATTACAGATGGTAAGAAACCTCATGGAGTACTCCAAGTTGGAAAAAATAAAATCAACTCATGCATTCTAAATTCGAGGGTTGCGCTGCTCAAAGTGGGATATTATCTGTTAAAGTTTTTATTCAGATTTTTTACGAATTTGTACATATACATAATATATAATTAATTGTGATTATCTAATTAATTTGAATAAAAATAATATGCAGTGCACCATTATACTATATTTCTTTTTTCACCTCAACCAATTCTTCTTCAGATTCTTTTTTTATTTCTTTCTCCCACCTGGACTTATTTTCTTCGTGTTTCTTATCCTTATCGTCTTTTTCTTTTTTAAAAGAGGTAGATTCTTCCTTATGTGATGTGCTTTTCAACACTGGATCAATCTTGTCACGAATATCTGATAAAGTTGATTGAAACAGTTTTGAGTATGCCTAAAAGGTAATATTTTTAAATACAAAACGTCTCTTATTATCTCTATGGGAATTTATATCCAATATTATATATTGTCGACAGGTTATAGATTTGTTCTATCACCATTTATGTTCACATTCTTATTTTAGACCAATAAGGTTTTAGAATTGTTTTGAAATATCTCAATAGGGTTGTTGACCAAATTTCAAAAAGTAGATAATATAATTCTACACATACTAACTAGTGTGTATACATAATTAGAGACTGAGAATAGGGTTTCTGATTTCTCGGCCTATTTTTTTTCTCGGGACTCGAGAATTCTCTACTAGGAATTCCCGGGAATTCTTGAATTCTCGAGAAATTTCTAAAACTTAAAAAAGTCTTAATGTTGGTATTGCAATGCGAAATATAAACATGCTATTATACTTAACATTCTTAACAATCATCATTAACATTTATTATTTATTCAGTATTTTTATTAATTACTTATGTTTCTACTTCTACTAACAAAACTAAATTAAACTTTGAGTATCTTCTTCTTAAAAACCTTTAACTTGTTTTTTTATTAAACTCTTTCATTATACTTATGTTTATTTCAATATTTTTTAATCGTAGCTTTCTTCCAATAATTATTAATAATCATTAATCATGCAGTCTTTTAATTAAACAAATAGTAAATAAAGAATTTAACAATCTTCTAATTAACAAAACAAAAATAAAATAATCAACTAAAGAAACAGGAACTAAATATTTTCAGAATCAACATCAACATTATAGGTATCTGCTTATAATAAAATTTCTACACAGACTTATAACAAGGTACATTAAAAAAATAAGAATCGTCAAAGTAAACTACAGCCTTAAAAACTTAAAATAAATAAATCATGAGCTAGTCGAGAAACCACTTTAACCGCTCAGTTATTTGTCGAGAAACGAATTGAACGCATGAATGAAACGAACTCCAATCAAGAACTTAAGACGCGCCTGATTTTTAAATTTCTCGATTTCTCGACACTTTTTTCTCGTCTCGAGTAAGGCCAGATTTCCCGGGAATTCTCGCTTCGAGAATTCNGATAAATAATATTGAACCGTATAGAAATCATTTTATATTTTATACGCATTATGGTAATAGTGGTTTTATATTATGTATTAGTCACTCTTTATAATTTCGGCCGCCGAGTATAGGCCGCCCCTGGCGTCAGATCGAAATCAGTACCATGTAGTTTTAATGACCTTTAATAGATATACACTTCACCCAAAAATTACTTAAATCCCTGAAAGGGTTTTTGAATTATTGCGGAAAGTTGTTATTATTTTTTTTTAACAAAACCCTGTAACTCCGTGAGAGTGCATGGAAGAAAAATATTTTATAAGAATTTTGATCTTATTTTGGCCTGGTCTACCACCTGGTAAATTTTTATACGCTGACACTGGGACACCCTGTATATCCAATGCTTCATCAATATTACCACTTTAAATCTTCACCAGCCGCCACTGTATTTAACCTCATATCAAATTAATTAAGACCAAATTTGTTACATAAAATATTGAAAGTAAGATGATATTGAAAATGATTGAAGTTACTGAATTAGAAGAAATACTTCCCAAACTAACTTACCTCAGCTGTAAATTAGTATTTAGAGTTTAAATGCTTTTTATTTATTTTGTTTGACTTAGTACATTAAAGTGTCACAGGTTATATCAGCTCTGTACTATTAATATTGCTTTTGCTCTAATTTTCAACCTTAATATTCTAATATAATGATAAACATAACTTTGTTTTAGATGAGTAAGCCCTTCCCATTAAATCAAAAGAGGTCTTATTTAAAAGGGTAGCGACACTAGTAGTGACCAATAAAAAAGTACCAACACATAAGGAGTAGTTTTAGAGAAGTCAACGATGAACGAAGAGATGATTAGACTGTTCCATTAAGGCTGTTTCAAGATGTTCTTATGCTTATAGTACAAATGAATGATGTATGGATTTATATTAGCAATTGGTTAAGTTTTAATACTACAATAAATTTGTATAAATACTGACTATAATATTTATTATATAAAATATATTTGTTTCCAATTTATAAAGTGACATATTTGTACAGTTTTATTTAAGTTTTAAGCAAAAAGAGATAAATAAATTTAAAAGTATTATAAGTTTTTTCCAAAAAAAAGAAAACCATATGTATACAGGGTGTCCCATAAGCACATGATCAAAAAGGTACTGTGACATTCTTTGGCTCAAAAGAAGACGATTTGACCTAACTTCCATTAAGAAAAAATGTCTGGCTCCTCTGCTACTGTCAAAGTTCTTGAAAAAAAATGTTTTTTTTTAATATCTGGAGAATGTTAAGATGGATTTTAATGAAACTTGCTATGAACTTGTTCCTAAGTAAGACTCATGTTTTGATGAAGCAACCGCGTCCATCTGCCTTGGGCTAGCGGTAAATTCTTGAGTGACATGGTACAAGAATTACCAGAACTTTTTATTTGGTCGCTGGAATTAATTTATTTTATTTTTATTGATGCATCAGTCCTTTTTCGAGATTTTCGTGCTCTTGGTAAAATCTTGTAGCATTCATAGTTTTTACGAAATTTTTATTTTTTTTCGATATTAGACAATCATTTTCACTACTCAAGTACAACAACTACTCACTACAATTACTACTATCATAGTAAGTGATGATGTCATTTTATAATAAATGTCAATCAATTCGTTTCGAATGGTGTTTTACGTGGCGCGATACCCAAATCGACGGGTTCCAGATGGCTCGAACACCAAATTGCCCAGTCTCCCGCAAACTCTTTTCAATCCAAATTGAAAAGAGTTTGCGGGAGACTGGGCAATTTGGTGTTCGAGCTGTTGACTGTGTGGGTCGTCCTCAAGTACAAAATGCAGCCGTTGAGAGAGACGTTTTAAATAGGATCGCTGAAGAACCAAATATCAGTACTCGCCGTCTGACAGTGGAATTTGGCATACCAAATAGTACAATTAATCGCATCATAAGACATCCTCCATCCTTATCATGTAATGTCTATTCAGGAACTTTTACCACCATTTTGAGAGAAGACTTCAATTTTGCCTCTTTATTTAAGGAGCGCGGGCACGTTCTTCTGGTTCTAATGGAAGATGTCCCTCTCGATCTTCGTGCTCAGATGTAGTTTATGCACAATGGTGCTCCTCTGCACTTTAGTACAAATGTAACTGCACATTTAAATAATACTTTTCCACACAAGTGGATCGGAAGAAGAGGGAGAGATGTTCCTGTCGAATCGCCCCCCAGGTCCCCCGACTTAACAATGTTAGATTTTTTTCTATTGAAGGATAAAGTTTACGCTACTCCTGTGGAATCCCAGGAAGAATTATTGCGTAGGATTCAAAACGAGGCCAACATAATACAGAATGATCCAAAAATGTAGGGGAGGGCTCAATTCAAATTTCAATCGAAGGATCCAGCTATGCATCCAAGAAAATGTGGGGCATATCGAACATGTCTTGTAATTCCACCATCATCTATCCTATTTAAGTAACTATCATCCAGTTTCAATGAAGAGAATTATGTATTTCCTAAGCGCGTCTTTATATTTTTTGAGTGTTAACAAAAAATAAATCTAATGAAGTAAAAAGATATTCAATCCGTCGCATTGCGACAGACTTTAAAATTGCGACCATTTTACTTTCAATATTGATATCCTAGGTAAAAGAATTGATATTTATTATTAGAGCTGCTTCTTGTAAAAGGGCAGATTTACTGCGATACATTTAAAATTATTAAATCGCAACGAAACAGAAAACTATTTTTTGCGTAAAAACTATGAATGTTACAAGATTTTACCAATATACTTACTAGGATAGTAGTGATTGTATATAGTTAGTATTTGTTGTACTTGTGTAGTAGTGATAATGATTGTCTAAAATTTAAAACATTTTTTTGCGTAAAAACTATGAATGCTACAAGATTTTACCAAGAGCATAAAAATCTCGAAAAAGGACTGATGCATCAATAAAAATAAAATGAATTGATTCCAGCAACCAAATAAAAGGTTCTGGTAATTCTTGTACCAAGACACTCAAAATTTACCACTAGTCCAAGGCAGATGGACGCCGTTGCTTCATCAAAACATGAGTTTTACTTAGAAACAAGTCCACAGCAGGTTTCATTACAATCCATCGTAACATTCTCCAGATATTACAAAAAACATATTTTTATTTCAAGAACTTTGACAGTTAATAGCAGAGGAGCCAGACATTTTTTCTTAATAGAAGTTAGGTCAAATCGTCTTCTTTTGAGCCAAAGAATGTTGCAGTACCTTTTTGATCATGTGCTTATGAGACACCCTGTAAGTCCATACAAGGTGTTGTTGAAAGCTGTGCTCTGCTTAATTTTTCTAGACACAAATGAGGTAATGCTGCTGATTGTTTTGTTTTTTATTATACTACTTAATTTTGTACATAAATGAACATAGGTACTTTCACTAACATAAAAAGGTTAAACTCTAAACAAAGTGGACTGTATTGTAATTATGCGTGCACCTTACTTGGCTACTGATTAAAAACTGACAAAACTATAAAAGGCGAAGGTATTCCGCCTGCTGTTTAATACGTTCGCGCCATCTTTTGGCACATTCCTTAAGTTAGATTCAAACAGATGTTTTTAAATGAAGTAGCAAAAATGGTACCAGTGAATGTAGAGCCAAAAATAAGAGGATTGAAGTAAAAAGACCTTTTATGAAAGTTGCACCCCTCAGGCAATACTCTCATAATTAGCTGCCAACCCTGAACAGGCCGATTCTATGATCAAAACTAAGTAAAAAAGTTCATATGAACATGGATCCGGAAATGCTTCCTAAGGGCACAGGGACCCATTGAAGAGGGAGGAATGGAAATCATTTTTTTGCAATATCTCTCAATCGCGTTGTGATAAATGAATGAAATTTGGTATACACAGCTAAATTTCATTCATTTATCACAACGAGATTGAGAGATATTTC